GGGTGTGGGTGGGTGTGGGTGTGATTCCTTTGTTCCACTCGCACCCACACCCACACACCCACACCCTGTTTATATAAAAACATGTTACTATATTATTACATATTTTATTTTATTTTCTTGTTGCTGTTCTTGTTGATTTTAAAGTTCTCGTAAAGCAGTATTTAATTTCGTTCGAATCTTTTGGTTTAAATCATTTAATGTATCATATCGAATATTAGTTCTGCAAAAAAAAGAACATCTATCAATAAGTGAGAAATTTTTAATTTACTGTTGTTCGTTGAAAAAATTTTTATATTGTATAGTAACCCATTTGTATGGTTCTCGTCCATTAAACTATATATAAAAAGAATTAAAAATGAATGTGAATTAAATACGCTTACATTCAAACGGATTTTAAACATCTCATTTTCATAATAATGTACTGTTTCAAGATTTATATTTTCTTTCATATAGTTTATTTTGACATGACCATTGGCATCTCGATACCAAGTAAATATTATGTTTTCCTATAATATAATAAAAAAGAATAAACATCAATAGAACATGATATAGGTGTGGGTGTGGGTGTGGGGCACAGTGGACAGCCAGGCGACAAAATCAGTTTTCGAGATTTAGACAAATATCATAGCTAGCATTGGAGCTGCTGTGCTCCTGCATTTAACTGCATCCCGGATAATGATTGAAAGCAAGTGTCTGTTAAGTTGCAGGCACCATAAGGTATGTAAAATAGGTAAATATCACTTATAGGCAGGTCCCGCGCGAGGGTCCCAAGATTGGGGGGGGGGGGGTGTGACGAGATTTCAAGGCAGTCAAGATTGAGGGAAGCAAAATTTTTTTTCGCATCAGATCTGATGTTAATCTTTTTTTGCGGACCTAAAATGTAATAATTTTTCGCGAAGCGACAACTTTTTGCAACCTCCTTAAAAAATTTGATTTTTTCTCGCAAATTTTCAGGAAGAGAACTGGAGTCCAATATGAGAAAATTCCTCGATACTGTCGTTATCGAAGGCGACCACTTTGGCACAAGTTGCTCTATATCAAGCTGTTTCAAAGGAAAAGTTGACTAAAGTATTATCCGATCCAAAGTAAAAGGCAAGTTACCATTTTTCGAATAACTTTTGATAGGAACGAGATAGAGAGCTGCGATTTTCACCATTCGAAAGAGCGATGTCCGAGCCATTGATCGGTATAGAACTCATTAAGACGAAAGATGTTTTTTTTTATGGGTACCTTTGGATCAACACTTTTCCTTTGAGTATTTTCATCAATTTTTCGAATAATCTCAACTCAAATTATGTCAAAATGTAGCTCAAATCACCCTTTTTTTCGCTATAAAATTAACATTTGTTTTTTTTAAATCCGCTTAGAATAAGCGATTGAGAGATAATGAAATATGTGATAATTTTATAGCGAAAAGAGGGTGATTTGAGCTACATTTTGACATAATTTGAGTTGAGATTATGGTGAAAATTGATGAAAATACTCAAAAGAAAAAGTGTTGATCCAAAGGTACCTATAAAAAAAAAAAGCATCTTCCGTCTTAATGAGTTCTATACCGATCGATGGCCCAGACATCCCTCTTTCGAATTGTGAAAACCGCAGCTCTCTATCTCGTTCCTATCAAAAGTTATTCGAAAAATGGTAACTTGCCTTTTATTTTGGATCGGACAATAGGAAGTTTGTCTAAGTTAACTGCGTTACACAATTGTTATTTTTCGCGAAGCGAAAACATTTTTCAGACTCACGAAAAACTCTTTTTCCCTTATGTTGTTCGAAAGCAAAAAGTGTTGTGATAACTCTTATAGATTTCGCCGCCGAAGGCGGCCACGCTAGTGACGATTGTTGGAAAATGAAGCTCTTCAAAAGGAAGAGAGAAGTAAAATTGCGTTAAAAACAGAAAAATCACAGATATTTCTAGGTTGAATACGCTCCCATCGTCATGTTTTCGCGAAGCGAAAAATTTAAACATCCCTTCAGAATTTTCTAGCAAAAAATTTCAAAAAGATTTATCGATTTTGTTGGCTACGAATGATTAATTATTAATTATTGGGGGGGTGTACACCCCCCTACACCCCCCCACTTTCGCGGGGCCTGGTGCAATGCAACAAATCTTTGCAATAGCTTGTTTAAAATCACGCATTCAAAGATTCAATGATCATAGCAGTACTTCTTCAACAGGTTTCTTCTTTTTTATATCCTTCTTTAATGTATATGTTTCTTCGGGGGTGAAAATATTTTTTTTTTTGTAAAGCATGTTTCTTTCTCTTCGTCTTAAAAAATGATTAGGATATGATCTTATTCTCTTGTTTTCACCTTTTTCTAGGTAATGGTTTGTATATTTCCTTATACATCGACATCGCACATGTCTGTATTTTGCATGTTTGTCAATTGGTTTGTACCAGGCTTTAAATCGAAGTGTAAATCTCCAAAAGACTCTTCTGTATCTCATATTAGTGCGTATCACTAGATTTTCTCTTTTTTCGTTTCGAAAAGCTTTTTAATTCATTTGGCTTTTATTTAAATTCTAGATACCAATGAACGATATGATTAAATCACTGCTAATGCGAGTTTTGTGGAACTCACATATATTTTCGAAGAAAATAGTGAGTGTAAGTTTTAAGTTCAAGTTTTTGCGGCTCCCCCTCTCCATTACAGACACCCTCCATTATAGGCAGGTCTCCATTACAGACCTTAGCAATTAAGAATAACAGGCGTCAGACTTTCTAGTTTTCTTGAAAAATTGATCAAGTTAGAATCTTGAAAGATAATCCAGATCATTGTTTGTGAGCTGATTAATATATATAATAGTGCATAAGATCTTCCGTAGATATCATGGATATATAAAACAGATTTATTTACCAATTAATTCAATGATTATAATAATAAGAATGTTGAGTTATGGAAAACGAATTAAAATTAAAAAAATGAAAGGTAATGAGCGAATAGCAACAATGCAAGAGAAAAATAGGGCGTTCTTAAACAAAAAAAAATTTTTGTTTTAAATGTAGACATAAACACCAAAGTCTCGCTCTTATCATCGATTATCAATGAAAACAACTACAGTGTATACGGAATTTTTCAGTTTACATATGATGCATTAGAATATTAAGATTTAAGGATATATGTCAGTCCCACATTTCAGCTGCAAAGGAGCTGCGCTAACAAGCTTTTTTTTTTATTTCCAACGTTTAAAAGAACTTCCTTTGAACCATCTGTATCTTTCGTTTCATAACTAAGAAAACAAACAAATTTGATTTTCTGCACCACTTGTGAAGAATAGAAATACAAAGAATTTGGAGAGCGTTATAAAAACAATCGAACTTTGACAACATTTACTGCTAACTCTTTGCTGTCTTAAAGCTTTTTCATGTTATTGGTGCAGAGTATACTATGAAAGTGAATAGGTGACTCATTTGTTTTCAGGAGGAAGTAAAACATGTGATAAAAAAGAATCGCTCGTTGTCTCTTCTGTTTTGCTTGTCACACAGACAAAGCAAAAACTAGTCATGACTAGCATATATTGGTAAATTAGGCAAGAATTTACTTTTATTACGTTTGCATGATTTTCGATATAAGATCAAAATACAATTAGTCATGTATTTTCGCAATAACGAACACTGTATTCTCTCTTCTTTATTTTGTTCTTGCGAAAAAACATCGAGGGCGCTCACGTTTGCCTATAAAATGGAAGCAATGCATAGACAAGACTCACAATCGTTGATAGAGAAAGTAGGTGACATGCACAAAAATAACTGGTTTTTTTCTAATTGAAACTTTTCTTTTTAGTCTAGAGACCGACGTGAAGTAGTGCTTATATCTTTTTCTAACATATATGACTGGTGCTGTTTATGACACAAAACACTGGTTTCACGAAAGAAATGATAAATTTTGGCCTGGTCAAGAATTTGGTCTTGAAATCGATGAAATTCTTCATCAACAACGATCAAAATATCAAGATATCCTTGTCTTCAAAAGGTAAATTATGATCTGCATAGCTTGTTCTTAGAATGATCCATTTAAACATATTTGTGTACGTATCTTTTAAGTAAAACTTACGGCAATGTGCTCGTATTAGATAATTGTATTCAATGCACGGAACGTGATGAGTTCGTCTATCAAGAAATGGCTGCCTTTCTGCCATTACTCGCACATCCCTGTCCGAAACGGGTTTGTACGATTTCAACACAGTAACTCTAGAATGATTATTTCTTTATGTAGGTTTTAATTATTGGTGGAGGTGATGGTGGTGTCCTTCGTGAAGTTGTCAAACATCCACAAGTCGAAGAAGTTGTTCTTTGTGAAATCGATCAGGTAATATCGATAAAATATATTTGATTTCAGCTATATAACTTAGAAATGTTTGTAGAATGTGATTGATGTGAGCAAAAAGTATCTTCCTAACATGTCTAAAAGTTTCAAAAGTTCTAAGGCAACGATTCATATTGGTAACGGTTTCGAATTTCTCAAAAAGCATCAGAATGAATTCGATGTTATCATTACTGATTCGTCTGATCCTGAAGGTAGTCATCTTGTTCTTCAGTACACAGAAGCAATCATTCATATTTAGGTCCCGCTGAAGCATTATTCGAGAAGCCATATTACTCATTGATGAAAGCAGCACTCAAACAACCACACGGTATCATCTGTTGTCAAGGTAGAAAGTCTCTTGAGTTTTACTCGAATACTTTTTAAATCTGATAGCTGAATGCATTTGGTTGGATCTTCCTCTGATCAAAAAGATGTCTATATTTTGTCGTGAACTTTTCTCAACGGTAGCCTATGCCATCTTTTCAACACCAACTTATCCATGTGGTACGCTTGGTTTTATTGTTTGCAGTCTCGACAAAGTAAAGTCTAGTAAAAGTATTCGCTTTTTTTGACGCTATTATATTATCATATAGAATATAAAGTTGACAGAACCTATTGATTTACAATTAGCGGATCAGCTTGATACTCGATATTATACGAGTGACATACATCGTGCTGCATTTGCTCTACCTGCTTTTGTTTCCAAGGTGATTAGGTGTGTGCGTATAAGTAAAGCAGAAGAAATTGTTTTTTTTTCTTTATAATTGATTAGGAACTCCAGTTGCAAAAGCAATAATCGACGAAATAAAAAGAGACACTTTATACAAGATTGTCATTCAATGTTTTTTTTTTCAATCCAAATAAATATTCATTTCACTACTTTGCAATTTCAATTTAATCTTTTAACATATGCACTAGAATATGTTGTACTAAATGCCCATGAATTTTTCTCGAACTAAGTATTCATGCAAGTATTGTTCTTGTTTTGTTATACGACAGAGAATTTCAAGCTCTACAACACATAACACATTGGAAGTTTTAATATATAACGCAAAAAAAGTCCTGATAAAAAAAATGAAGACTATCATTTAGTCTTACTGGAATCTTACTTGAAAGCAACATGAACATTTATTCAATTATTGTGCTGAATATAATTTATGATCTATGAAGTGAAGATTTTACTCCTCTGAACTGTTGCATTTCTTGCTAAAAGAAAGTCTCTATTTTCAGGCGGATTGATGCGAACTCTGTTTTATCCAGAACGAAAACATCGTTGCGTACGAGTCCTTGTTCCAGAAAAGCCAAAATGAGAATACCGATGTAGAAAACTTTCTTGAGTTCTTCTTGTCAAGTACGGAACAGTGAGTAATAATTGTTTCAGATTCACATAATTCCAAATGCTCTCGACTCATTTTTTTGAACGATAAAATTTTTTCTCCTCTTAATTTTCTTTAATTGAACTTCAAACTATCTCATTTAGCTAAATATTAGCAAACTTTGCATCACCAACTCCAGGATCAATGCACTCGTTAAACAATGACTCGATAGTATTCATCAAAATTGTTGTTCAATGTTTCACATTCTTATTGTCTTGAAAAATTGGTACCAAGTTAATATTTAAAAAAAAATGACAAACTAATCCATAGTGATGTAAAAATAATTCAAAAAAAAATTTCTATGAATTTTATGTTACTCATATCTCTGTGACTGTGAGAGATAGAAAGTTCAAATTCTGATCTAGAGTAGATCTAAATTTTTAGTTTTGCAAAACATATCGACAACATTTCTATCAAGACATGAATTTATTTATTCAGACTTTCTCTTGCGGAAGAGCGATCATATACTTCTTGATTATGTAAGGATAGTAACTACTGGTTCTATGGATGTAGATAAGATGTTCGAGACAGGAGTATCGCTTTCTTGACCCTTAAAGTATTGAAAAAAATTCATTGAAGAAGATTTGATGCTAGTTTCTTTTTATTGTTTAGTAGACTAGTATTGAAAAATGGAAACACTCATTTGTCTCAGTTTATGATCTCAATCATGAATCTAAAAACCTACGACATATTGACGTCTTAAATTGATTTTTCAGTAAAAAATTATGATTTTATCTGAATATTTGTATTTCGAAATTTTCATAGAAAAAAAATTCATGTTTTTAGTTATTTCAAAAACATTAAAATCATTTCATTAGTTTGACATCATTTTCATTGCATAACTTTGATTATTTACAAAAATTAAAATCATTATATTAGTTTTCCTATTTTTATACCATTTTCGATTCATGATTTCGATTATTTCGATAACGAAAAATCAGTAGAAAAAATTTCATTAAAATGATATAAATTACTTCATCTGTTGCCATTTTTTTTATCCACTGGGATGATCGAATAATTAATGTATTTATATTCTGATTATAAATGATTTTTATGGGTAATTTTATCGTTATTTTGAATCTTTATTTTTCATTTGAAATGAGAAAAATACTTGTGAAATAGAAATTTTGTTATCAAAATATAGGAAAGTTAAGAAAATGTAATAATTGCTGATCGATAGATGACACCTCTATATGGAATGGATATTGCAGACAATAACTTGATTTATTTTCGATAAATATTCAAGTTAAAATAATCTGTGTTTTTCTGAACGGAAAGACAAATATTTTCGATAATAAGACTAAAAAAAAGATAAAGAATGATTAATAAATATTGAATTGGCTATATCTATCGAATCAAATAGTGTTCTTTCTCCAATAGAGTTTGATTGATGTTTGTATGTCAACGAAATAACAAGTCATCTAATAAAGAAATGATCGCATTAGATAAACAATCATGGCATATAGGAGAAAATTAGACTAATTTTAGCAAATATTTTTTTTAAATTTAGATCCTTCGACGTGAAAATTGTCTACCATTATAAGACTTAATTTGTTTAAATATTATCTAAGAAATGATTTTCATTATCTGATTCTTATCATTCAAAGTAAGAATTAAAACAACAGTTTATTCTTTATTTAATCTTTTATCTATTGAAAAAATTTTGATATGATAAAGTTATTTTTCTCCATGTTATTTAAATTATAGATAAAAACAATCTTCCAACAAAGTTATTCACTGATTATTTACTTGGTATGAAAGATATTTTTTCATTAAAACTCCAATTATTATGTCGAACAATGATATTTGAAAAACTTTTTTGAATTAAAAAATAATGGACAAAAATAAATAAGGTAATTATTGTCTTATAATACTGTTTAGAATCTTTTCAATATGTTTATGTATATCAATAAACATTATTTCAATTAGATTAACTAATTTTAACCAATCAGAACAATAATTTTATATTTTAAATGAATATCAAATATTAAAAAGATTAATGATAAATAATTGAGGATATCAATTAAAAATTAGAAAATATTTTCAGTTCATATTTGTTATATTTTGTTTTTAATTATCTTACACCATAGGTATAAACAAAATAGATAAAATACACAGGGATGTGACGAAGAGAAAAAAGTGGGAGGATGCAAGAGAAATTTTTTGAAAAGTTGAGGATGTATTTTAAAAAAATGTTGAACATGAAATAATACATTTACGAAATTTTAAAAAGTGAGGGGAGGGTGCAGATCTTTATGTTCCCTTATTTTTCCATCTCACGATCTTTCTTTTCAATAAAATGAACAATTTTTGCTAAGAAAAAACGAAAATTTTCTAAAAGTGAGGGGGTGAGCACTCCCCTACACCCCGTGGTCGTCACATCTCTGAAGATACAAACTAACATATTCACTATAATACGTTGTCGATTGATTAGATTTATCATAACATTTTCTCAAAATAGTTTATACAAGATTTACTTTTAAGTATCTATTGAGCGAAAGACTCTGGAATTAAAATAGAAAATTCTTTCTATTGAACCTATAAGGAATTTAATGTTGATATGAATATCGACATTTTCATTGCATTATTCATGAGCAATTTAAATTAAATCAGTAGGATTTTCTTAACTGATTGAGATCAAAAATAAAATCAGTAGATAAAATAAATTATCTTCAAGTAGAATTATTTAGAACTGTTTTTCTGATCTAATAGAGTCAAACGAAGAAAGTTATTAACCAATGACGATCTAAAGCGAATGAGCGGCTGTTTTCTCTTTCAAGAAAATTTTTTTCTAGCAAAAAAAAATGAGTTTATTCTATTTTAGATGAACGTCAAAAAAATGATTTTTGCCTATAGTTACTTTCTCCTCTTCGGGAAAGTGTTTCCTTCCTCTTCCGAAATTGTAGATTTGCCACTCTTATTAACAATTCATAAAGATAGAAACTCAAATAAAAATTAAAAAGAAGAAAAATTTTTTTATTCTTTTTTTTTTTGTGTGTTAAAAAACCTATTTATGCAACAGATTTTTGTGAATATTGTTGATGACCCATTAGATATAGAGCCTCAATTCGAATACAATGCGTTGAAACATATGATGTATATTAATTCGAAAGAACGACAAAAAAAAGGTCATTTTATAATGTGAGATAGAAACATATTTCGCACGTCATATAAGTTTGTGTAAGAATAGTAGGACACATTTATCCTTCGACATAGTGTATATTATGTGTATTTCGAAGTATAAAAAAAATGATCCGCAAATGTAAGAATCAGGAATTTTTACTATATTTTATTTGCATAGTTTAAGTTCGAATTTTGTTTAATTTATGTTGATTAATATTGTTATTTGTTAATGAGATATTTCGATATGTTATATATGTTTCTAACGTCAATTTTCTATTTGTAAATATAAATATAAGGTAGAAGTATTAGTTATAGAAAATGAATGAAGTTTTTATTGATAAAAATAAAAATAATTGTTTAAATATTTCAATTGAATAATTTTAGATAAAAAAAAAAGAAAAATAATGTTGTCATGTTTTCTTGTTGCAATTAATTCAATACGCGTTGTTATTCCAGCAATAAGTTTATTTGGATCAGCTCCAACATTTTTTGTTGTATGGTTTTTATCACGTTTAATAACATTTCTTTTTTGTCCTCATTATATTTATCGTCGTTGTGATGATTATTTATATTCACTTTATCAAAAATTTGTTCTTTTTTTCTTTGAACATTGGACTAATACTAAAGTATGTTTCAATCTATTTTTGTTTTTTATTTTTATTTTTATATAATTAAGATTTATTTTCATGGAGATTATGAAGAAATAATGAAAAAAAAAGAAAATGTTTTGTTTATATCAAATCATCAAAGTTCGGGTAGAAATTATCTTTAAAATAAAATTCTAATAAAAGTGAAAAGACTAGTTTAGTTGATTGGATAATTGCAAATATGTTAGCTGTTCGTCAAGATAGTCTTGGTCATATTCGATATATTCTTAAAAATGAATTAAAATGGATTCCATTATATGGATTTTATTTTCAACAAGTAAAAACAAAAAAAAAATTAAATTGAATAAACAAAAAATTTTGTTAATTATTTATTTAGCATGGTTGTATTTATGTTCATCGAAATGATAAAGGAGATTTAGAACGTGTTGAAAAAGGCATAGGTCAAATAAAATCAAATGGTTTACCTGTTTGGCTTGTTATATTTCCTGAAGGTACTCGATATAATCCAATTAAAAGTCAAGATGTTATTGAACGATCACGACAATTTGCAAAACAAAAAGGTTAGAAGAAATATTTTTTGTCTATTTATTTTAAAATCTTCTTTTGTATGTTAATATCACAAAAAAATATATATTGTAGTATCATAGATGAGTACTGCGCTGAAAAAACAGGGCAAAGACGCCAATAGTCCCAAGATAACAGTGGAGAAAATCATCGTCGTCAGAAAGCTTATTTGGCAAATAGACGCAGTTGCTCGCATCTTCCGCAAAAATTGAGTCGTCGCTACGGCTAACAGTAGGTGAAGGCATGTTTTCGCCAATTTTTCTCTCTTATTTATACCGCAATGATATTTCGTAGAAAACAGTATTCCATTTTTGAATATTCATAGTATTACGAAAGAATATTTAATTAGATAAGATATAACCAGAGGCGAATTTAAATACTACATTCATCACACTGAAATTTACTAACTAGAAAATACACAGAACTCATAAATCGATTGTAAATCGAGATTATGTGCATCATGTAGACCCTAATCAGCTATTAATACTCTGAAAAAAATTCAAACTCATAGCTTATTACTGCCGAGCTATATTTTTAATCAGAAGATTATGGTTCTCCTCAGTAATATCAGGAAAACTGAATTTCGAATTTTGCATAAAGACAGGCTTTAGCAATAATCGTTTATTGTCAAAATTTCAGATCTCGTCGTTGTTTTTATCCTAAGATATGACTATGGTAACAGCATGTTGTTTATATCGTTCATGCACCAACAGATTCCGATGTTCTTATTTTTCAGAATAGAAACAATCAAAAATGATTGAAAATTTCACAGCAAACTATTCTCGCTAAGGTTTGTCTTTGTGCAAAGTTCGAAACTCAGTTTTCCTGATGTTCCTGAGAGGGACCATAGTACTCTGATTAAAAATGCAATAACTCGGCAGTAATAAGCTAGAAATCCGAACTCTTTTCAAAGTATTAATAGCTCATTAGAATCAACATATGATGCACATAGTCCCGACTCAAAAGTGATTTATCAATTCTGTGTGTTGCTCGGTAAGATTGATTTACTTTCAAAATGATTTTTTCTAAACATAGATTATTACTTAAAATTATAAATTTAACAAATGAATATTAATATGAGATAATAAAATGGATAGTATCTCATAAAGAATAAGTCTGTCAACAATTAAATCTCTAATTTTAGTTTAAGCACTTGATGTACATTCTTCTTTTTAAAAGTTCCCAGTAATAGAGTTTAACGGCTGCAGTGTTTTATTCAGTTGGAGTGCCGATGGGTCGACACCCTTTCGAAGATGAGGTTGATCCTCTGAAGGAGGAAATGTGGATAAAATGCTGAATGACTGGTATGATAAAGGGGCAGTTACGTTCAAAATATTGTTCGATGGTGTGATCACTAAACAATAAGCCATACTTGCTGTGAGAAGGCGATGTTCATCTCTGTTTGATACTATTACCAGAATTACATATTTATACTATAAACTTGTGAAATTCGATCAACGGAAAAAAAAAGTACAGTGTTTGATTAGTTTCTTGGTATATAAATTGTAATATTATTGTTTTCTTTTTTTTTTTAAACATTAAGGTGTTCCTCCATTTGATAATGTTCTCTATCCTCGAACAGGTGCAACAATAGCTGCTATAAATGCACTTAAAGATAATTTTGATGCTGTTTATGATGTAACTGTTATGTATTCTCCAACTTATGATGAAAATCGACAAATTCGATTAGCTGCATCATCAATGGCTGGTAAAATTTTAAATCTTTGATAAAAAGTCTTTCTTTTTTTTTTAATAAAGAAAAGAAAAAAAAAATTTTAGAATTTTTACAAGGTCAAACGAAAGAATTACATATTCATATAAAACGAATTTCAATTGATACAGTTCCAAGTAAAACAAATGAACAAATATCAAATTGGTTATATCAAAGATTTATTATTAAAGACAAGTAAAAGAAAAAAAAATTAATAAAGTAATTTTGTTTCTTTTATTTTTTAGATTATTAAAATATTTTTATGATAAAAATCGAAAGAATAAATATTCCTTAGATATTGATTCAAATCAAGAAGGTATTCAAGCGCCATTACATTTAAGTGAAACAATATTTTCTTGTATATTTTTTCTTCTAACAACATTTTTATTATTAATAACACCACAAGGTCGTTCACTTTATTGGCAAATATGTTTATTTGGTGCACCATTAAGTCTTTTATGGATGCATATTTTTCCTCCAAAAAATATTAATTAGTCATTTGTCTTTTGTTTTATTCATTGATATAAACAATGACAATCATCAAATCTCAATTATTTTAATTAGTCATCTATATTTGATAATAAATAAACAATCACTGATAAATAGATAAAACATTTTTATGTAATAGATTTTTCTTTTTTTTTGCAATAAAATAAAATGTATTTATTGGTCTTTGTCTTTTTAATATTAGATTAATCATAGAGGTCTTTTAAAGTATAAGAAGTTTCTTAGTCTTCTATTCTACTACTCCAACTATAACACCCGCTAATCGAGTTTATATTCAGCCTAAAAGAAATCTCAGTATGACTGTAAAAAGTTTTAAAATGTTTATTCCCATAGTTGTTTGGAGTCGAGTTATGACCATTTTAAGATATTTACTGAAAAATCAAATAAGAGAATTTCAACTTGAAATTTTGCTCATAGACTAGCCTAAGGAATCCATAGAATATCTTGAAAGTTTCATTCGAAAAGAATATATCTTGATCGGGATGTTGAATCTCCAAAAAAAGAATTGTTTTGCCATAGACATATAACAAAAAATCGAGTTTACTATCTTGATAAAGAAATATTCTTTTCGGATGAAACTTTCAGGATATCCGACAGGTCATTAGAACTGTCGATGAGTTAAATTTGAAGTCAAATTTCTCTTATTTGATTTTCCAGTAACTATCTTTTTTAAATGGATCGAAAATTCAGTAAAATGTTAATAACTAGGCTCCAAACGCTTATGGGGAACGAACACTTCTTCCAGTCTTACTGACAAGGAAACGTTTTCAACTGATCAATTGTTTTTGAGTTCAGATTCTCTGCATAAGATAGAGTCCAGTAAGGTATGAAAAACTCCAAAAGGTCTTCTGTCCAGAGTTATACGCATTTTACTGGAATTTTAGTCAATGGTATTGGTACATATGAATAAATCGATTGATTATATTCTCGATCTAAGATTTTTATCCTCAGACTGATCTATTGGTGAGTTGAATGCCCTGAAAATTTCATCACAAAATAATGTTTTCTTTCCGAGATGTTAAAATCCCAAAAAACAGAATATTTTAGCATCTTCCGTGGAATATGAGTGATTTTTGGAACTTAAACATCTTGGAAAGAAAAATATTCTTTGGTACTAAAATTTACAGGGACATTCTACTCACAAATAGATCTGTCTATAGGCAAAGTTACAGTCATTCGATTTATTGGTATATACTATGCCATAGGCTAAAATATCAGTAAAATGTCTGTAATTTTAGGCAGAGGGTCTAAAGAAATTTATCGTTTTGAGATTTTTCATATGACACTGGAGTCTATCTTATGCACAGAGTTGGAATTCAAAAGCGATTGATCAGTTTAAAACGTTCCCTTCCTGTAATTTCCTTGTGGACCTAATATAAGAGCTAAAATGGTGAATTACAATTGAAGTAATTCCATAGTTAGTCTAATTTTTGAGACTAAAGATTAAGGCTTCCTCCTCAAAAAAGTCGCTTTTCGCCGAAATCATCAAAATTGAGATAAATTCATGGAGAAATAATCCATCATTTGCTATTTCATACACGACTAAAATTTTTATTCGATACCTTTTTTTTTCCAAAAATTTTGGAAGATTTTCATTACCTCCTATTCGAAAAACAAGCCGTTTTTACAAAAAATCGAAAACCATTTTTCGTTTTACTCAGAACGTGGCTTCAAGCACGTAGCACCAGCAGAACTCTATCATAGTAAAAGATAAAGACAAATTGTTTTTTGTTTGAAAGCTTGTATCTAGAGCCAGTACTCCTTGTGGCCCTCTTTTTAGAATAAGCCTTTTTATTATCATATAAGAAAACACTTCTATAAAAACAGCACCATTTTTTAGAGATTTTTTGAGTCATTATTAAACTTGTCATCCCTTTTCTTCGCTTAAATAGTAAGAGTTTAAACAAAAGGGCCACGAATAAGACTAGCTATAGACACAAGCTTTCAAACAAAAAAAAATTTAAATGTATAAAATGAAGACCCACAGAGAAGTCTTAGCGCTACGATAGAGCTATTTTTAATCCTTGTTTGGTGAATATCTCTGTCAAACGTCATGATATAGAGCTGAAAATTTTACCATAGCCATCGTTTACCAGCCCCAATATATCTTGAAAGTTTCATGCTATTTGAATGTTTCTGGTTTAAGATCGATTTTTGAAGGGATGGCCTTAATGAATACTAGTTCAGCTTTTCAGAGCACTACAAATATCTCTATAGAAATAAAGAAAGATGTTTACATTATTATAAATATTGTGGATTCTGTATTTTTTGATGTAGATAAAGAATTTAATCATCGATATTAATATTGATGGCAAGTCGGAAAAAAGAAGGAAATCCAGAGAAGGTAATTGACCATCGCGAGATAAAAATAAAAATAAAAGGAATGATTTCTCGTTCTATAAAAGTAAGGTTAGGAATGTACAATGTTTACAGGAAATAGTGAATCTTCAAGTTTATCTATATATATAAGAAGAATTTATTTTCCTATTATCTGTTATGTTCTACATTCTTATATTACATTTGGATCAATGATATTATTCAATGAAAGATAATAAAATTGAAGTACATATTTGATAGAGAGAAAGAGAAAGATCTTTAACAAAAACAAATATTTATTTAATAAGTTTTTCAACTGATATATAAACTTTCACATTTGAATTCTTGAAGTTTGACTTGTAGATCTTTTTCATTTGCTTTAAATAACATTTTTACATTTCTAATATAGTAAAATGTTTTTTTTTGTTTGTTCTTCTTCCATATACTTATCTCTTTCCAAAGTCCAATATTTATTTTATTTTTTTTATTGTGTCTTATTTTTTGCACATAGAAAGTAAATGTAAGAAATCTCTATATTAGAAAAGATATCGAATTTTGAATCACATGGATGAATAAAAATAATTTTAGATGATAGATTCATCAAATAATAGTGGAAATGAAGATGATGATAAATGTGTACCACGTGCAGCTGTATATAAAATGATAAAAGATTGTACTCAACATATTCGTGTATCAGGCGAAGCAAAAGAATTTTTTGTACAATGTTGTAATGAATTTATTCATACATTAGCTTTACAAGCTAATACTGTTTGTGAACAACAAACAAAACGACTTGTTCATCCTGATCATATTGTTACAGGTTTCAAATATTATTTATTATATAGATAAATTATTAATTCTTTTTTTTCTGGATTATTAGCTTTGAATAATATGGGTTTTGGTTCATATAAAACAAAATGTTTAAATGCAATGGAAACAGCACAAGAAGAAATAGCACAAAAACGTCGAAAACTTCATGGAAAACCAACATCGATTTATACTGATGACGAATTAAGACAAAAACAAGAACTTTTATTTCAACAAGTTGATTTTAATCTTTAAAATTCATATTAATTTTATTTTTTTATTTTTTTTTGTTTATTTAGGCTCGTGAAGAAGCTCAACAATTAGAAGACGATGATTGGGCACGTACACAAGAATTATCAAAAGAAGCTTTAAGAAAAAAACTCGAAGCAACAAGGACTGATGATGATAACTATGATGATTAATATACCTATATTTAAATTATTCTATCTTGTTTTATTTTCTTTTTTTAATATATAAAAAAAAAAAAATATTTATCTTTTAACACAGATGATATTAAATCATATAAATATATATACTTTCATATTATATCATTTTATTTTATTTATTCATATCGATCAATTTTCGATGTGATTTTTATTTGAATTTTAATATAGATATTGAGAATGAAGTTGTACAAAGCAAGAGATTCATGGATTGTAACTAATGACGAAAGTAGTTTATGGTTCAATAGAAGAAGTTTATCTATATATACTAAACAAGGTATGATGTTTCAGTTTTTTCTTTCAATTGATTCAATTTTGTAATTATAAATAAATAAATAAATAGAACCAATCACTGATCAATTCTTATCATCATCAGCATGGGATGCTGTTTTTGTAAGCAATATTTATGGTTATATTGGACAAGTACAAATTGTAAAAGGTAATTAAATATGAATATGAATATGTCATTTCGTAAAATAGATTTTTATTTTAAATAGATGGACTTAATTGGTTAATATTTATAAAAAATCAACAACTTGCTTGTGAAATGTCTAATGGACATCAAATTTATCGTATTACGGAAATTCTTATTCAACCTTTTGATAATTTTGATGAAGTAAATAATCAAGATTTTATTCTAATAAAAAAAAAACTAAAACAAAAAATTTATTTAGGAATCTGATGTTAAAACAAATCCTTCAAGCAATAATAAATATGAATTAAAATGCATTGAAGTTAGTTTATTTTAATTGATTTATTCGAAGAAAAAAAACTAATAAATTCATTTATATTTAGGAACTTCGTTTATGGTATCAAGAAACTCAATGTTTCTATTATAGTTCGACATATGATTTAACAAATTCCATGGAACGTTCATATAATTATGATAATAATATACCATTATGGAAACGTGCTGATGATAGATTCTTTTGGAATCGACAAATGCTTAGTAAACTTATTAATCAAGCAGAAGTATTTTTTTGATTTTACTTGGAGAAAATTTTTCAATTTTTTTCTTTGTAAATAGAAAGAAAATTTGGATACTCGTTGGATTCAACCAATAATAATGGGTTATTTAAATGAATGTCATTTTCAAGTTGATGAACAAACTGATGTACAATTAATTGTTATATCACGAAGAAATTCCCATCGAGCTGGTGTTAGAATGCATTGTAGAGGTATTGATGAAGATGGAAATGTTGCTAATTATGTTGAAACTGAACAAGTAAATTATTGAAAAAACTAAAGAAAAACAAAAAATGAATAGTTTTCTTTCTTTAGATTTTATGGACTGGAAATAATATTATGTCATTTATTATGATTCGAGGATCAGTACCAATTTATTGGTCACAACCTGGAATTAAATATCGACCACCACCGAAAATTGATCGAAGTAAGTTTAAATAAGAATATATTATAAACAACTTTTTAAATGTGCTCTTTTAAAAATAAGTTTTTTTTTTTTGAAATTTCTATTGAATTTTAAAGTATACATATATGTCACAGAAAAGTTCCATTAGAAAACAATGTTTCATTAGAATATAAATCACTTCTTGCCAATTAGTTTCATTTTGTATTTGTTATTTTTTTCTAACTTCTTATCGTACGAAAATATATTATGATAACCAGTCGTATTATGAAAGCCTGTAAAGGTATTTAGACATTTATCCGTATTATTCTTTGTTTGACCTTCGTCTTCTTATGTCAAGCATCGAAAAAAAGATTTACATCATAAATTCTTACATTGAAAATATATTTATCAGATTGATAAAATTAAATTTTTATATAAACGTTAGTCAATGTTTACTAAGAGAAAATGATATATGTTAAAGAAAATATTTGTTTAAAGTGATGATCAATGTGCATTAATCGAGTCATAAATATCTTTTTTTTTTTTTGTCTTGCATATAAGAATTCATAACATAATTCTTTATTATTGATGATCTTGTAGCAATATATTCTTTTCTTTTTTCTTCGATGACATAGTCATCTGTCTGTTAATGATGTATTGTATGTTGACATGAAGAATTGAAAAATAATCAACATCTCAAAATAATTTCTTTGATATTCATCATCAGCTGTCGTTCTCAAAGAAACACAATTATTATTATTTATTTCAATAGAATTTATTGAATAATTACATTTAGTTTTTAGTTTTGTTTTATAGATTAAAATGTTAGTATGTAGATATTAGTTATCTGTATTTCGGAAAAGAATAGTTTTGTTTTTATTGCATTTTTTCATTAATTCGTTTATGATAACTATCATAGAAACGAACAAGCAGTCGAGTTTACTATATTTTATATTATTGAATTAGTTTATGTTGACAGACACAAGTTTGTAAAAACATACTTGTTCAAAAATGCAATGTAGAACGCAAAATTGTTTTTTACTTTTTAGTTTGAATGCAATAAGTACGTTTGGTATGTGTTTGTTTTTGTTAGCAATGTTGATGGACATAGACTAATAGAATCAACATAAAGTTGATTAAGAACAAGTTCTTCTCAGTATATAATTAGTATGCCAATGTCTTTTGCGCATGTCGTGACCGGAACAACAAAAAAAAAAATATAGAAAATCTTGCCGATATAATCAATTCTCATTTGAATATCAAACAAATTTAAGCTATTTGGTGTCAAACAGAAAGTGAATATCTCAAGAGACAAAAAAAGATTTCTTCTTTAATCTGTAATGGATTACGACAAATGACGTAGATTTTTTTTTTTTTTATAGAAAAAAAATCTTTTTAAAAGACATTAAAATATTTTTAAACGCTAAACGAAAGTTTTTGTTTAATATAGCATAAAGTACAGGATTAATTGATGAATTTGAATAACCTAACCAAAAGAAAAACTCAATTGCATTGAAACTCAAACATCGACAAATAGCTCGAATAATATATAAAATAAAGAATGGTAACCAACAACATAGAAAACAACCTATTATAATAGCTAATGAACGTGTTATATGAGCTTCAGCTGTTATTTCACGACGTCCTATTTGTTGTTGATCTGATGAAGATAATTCATCACGCGTTAAATTATTTTCCGATAATTGAGATAATAGTGAATTTTCAAGACAAAATTGATTATTAGGTTTATCGATATTTAATTTTGATTTTCCATTTGTTTTAGAACGAATTGCTGATTGTTGTCTTATTACATATAAAACTTTAGCATATAAAAATATCATTATAATTAATGGAATAAAAAATGAAAGTAAAGAACTTGTTACAACAAAATTTGTATCTTTATATAATTCACATTGTCGAGTTAATTCATTATATTTTGTTGATGTTGATATTGTTTTATTTTTCATTGACGAATATATAGAAGATTTTTTTTCAAAAAATAATGTTGGTAAAAGACATATGGCTAATGACACAGACCATGCAATACAGATATTAGTTAATGCCAATGAAATTGAATGACGATGACGACGATAATGTATTGGATAATTTGTTGCTATATATCGATCAAATGCAATCATTAAAAGACTCTAAAATATAAAATGAAAAAAGACTTTTTTTTTTTGTTTCATAAATGAAATTTACCCAAATAGATGCTGTTGAACATAAAACATCAATAACTAACCATATTTCACAGAGAATTTTTCCAAAATACCATATTCCAAATGTTGAATATGATGCTGAAAATGGTAAAACAGCAATACCTAATAAAAGATCACTTGTTGCTAAATTAATAATTAAATAATTTGACATTCCACCTTGTCGAATTTTTTTATCAATAATAAATGCAATAATAACTAAGATATTTCCCAATATAGTCCAAATTGTTATTGTAAAAAGTATTATTCCAATTAATAATGAACTTAACATTGATGATGAATCGTAAAAAGAAATAAATTTTGTATCATTAGTTACAAGCATTAATAAATTGTTGATAGAAGGAGAAAAAGAAAATCTATATGAACAACTGTTATTGCTCTTGTCGTCGTTATCGTTGTTGATTGAATCAAAAAGAACTAGATAGAAGAACTAGAAGAAGAGCCGTATTTTACATGTGTTATTGAGTTAAATAAAGAAGAAAAAGAAAAGATCAGTTCAATCATCACATACGAAGAAAATTTGTTCTTTTTTTTTATATTCTGTAAAATTTTTTTTGTTTTGAATTTATAAATAATATTTTATTTGAACTATAGAAATAAATAATAATTCTATAACTTATATAATCTCATAATATTCAAATAAAAGTGATACTTACTACTCTGTTTTTTTTATTAATTAGGAAATATGCTTAATATATCAATGTTATTCGAAAATTTTTTATCAATTCTCTTGAGTTATTAGTATTTAGAATAAAACTAGAATGCGTTATAATAACGTCTTTCATCAGTGATATTCAACAGTTGGTTATTGACACTTCCCTTTTTTTCATTTATTCAGTTAGATGCTATTTTTTTTACTAGTGCAAGTTTGTGCTTTTGTCTATTTGTACTTGTTTTTTCAACTGGAAACAATCTAATCGACCCTGACAGTCCTACTCAACTAGAAAAAGGAACTCAGTTAGAAACAATAACAATAGATAGAGAGAGAGAGAAAATGTCGTTTTAGCAAATAAAAGTGTCGCAAATAAAATAAAACAGAACACGCATATAATACTGATGAGCCGAAAGAAAAACCAATTGCTTAGGGCTATCCAAAATTAGTAGCAGTGATACTTTAATACCTTTTAAAAAGCTTCAGGAAACTTTTTCTCTATATGAACTAATAGAAAAAATGACGCTCGATTTTCTCTATCATATGTGATGGTTATATTAATGCTTATTTTGAAAAAAGATGGAGTGAATATTTTTTGAATAACTTCTGATAGAAACAAGATAGAGAACTGTGACTTTCATCGTTCGAAAGAGAAGACAAAGATCTATCGAATCTAAATTATAAATTTTCCTATTATGTGATTTCAAGTTTGTTTAAGCAATTTTTTAAGTGTGGAAAAAATGTTTTTTTATGAAAAAGGAAATAGCAATAAAAAAGCTTTTTTCACAGGAATGGCTTGAACAATCGCTTAGAGCTTCAACTAGAGCCCATCGGACCCAAAAATTTCTGAACCTAGACCTCGTCGACTCAAAATTTTTTGACTCAAACTCGACCAGATCCGATCCGGATCTGATGATCTCTAGCTTTGACTAGAATACCTATAAATCCTGACTGATTAACCCTAGCACTACCAATCCTATTTTAGGGATAATATATATTTTAATTGTATGATTTTTAATTATTAAATAGATATTTTTGTCAAAGTTGTACTATTTTCCTATTCGATCTTGTAAATAAATTATTAGAATCATAACTTTTCTTTATTTAGAACAAATAATGTAAAAAAAATTCGTTTAACAGAACGCTTATCTCATATAAAGGTTCAAAACATTGATAAAATTTATTTCGAGTTTTCTTTTGTCTTTGGAAGGATCATTAAGCAGACAGCATTTTCATTTTGATCGTGTAGAGTTTTCATTCACTTAATTCTTCCAATGGTTGGTGCATTGTAGAATAATCAACAACGACTAGTGTATTTTGAATATCCTTATGTAAAAATTTCGTGATTTTCAAGCAAAAATCAAGAAGATAAGCGGTTCAGCTTGTTCCTAATTCTTCAAGGAATAAGAAAGAAGTTTATCTTTATTTTTAAGGTTTATTACGAGCATTTAATACAATTTTATATTCTGTTCAAACAACAAAGAATAATAGAAAGAGATGCAATCCGATGTCTAATGGATCATCTACTATACTAGTTGGATAGTCTCAATCCACGACAAAAACTTATTTCGATTAGGTTGGAGCTAAATCCAATTAGATTAGTAATGATTCATAGCATTGTGGACTAACAATTGAACTAATTTCACATTTCTCTTACCTTGTTATAATTTTGTTAGCTGTTCAAGATATAAAGTCATATCAAGCACTCTAGTTAACACAAAAAACAAAGATGAATTTCCTTTTCTTTCTAATCAACTTTAAATTTTAAACGGTAAAAAAAAGCGAAATATTTTTGGCAGCTGAAAAAATATCAAGATATTTTCGTTAAATTTCTATTTCCTACAGAGGGATCCAAATGAATTCCTGTTGGTAGTACTAGGATTAATTCTAAACATCTGAAAATTGTGCATTTTTGTAGATCTGTCATGGACAATTTGAAAATTTGCTGTGAACACCTCACGGTATAAGTTTGTTTTAAAAGAGATCGATTAGAACCCTTTAAAAAATCATGTTAACAAGAAACCGACATACGATTCGATGCATTTTTATTTTCTCTTTTGAACGATGAAAACCGCAACTCTCTATCTCTTTTTCATGAGAAATTATTCAAAAAATATCCATTCCACCTTTTTTTTTTAAATAGGCATTATTACAACCGTCACATATGATAGGAAAAACCGAGTGTTATTTTTACTATCAATTCATATTAGAGAAAAAATTTCTTGAAACTTTTTCTAAGGAATTAAAGTACCGCTGCGATTAATTTTTTGGATAGACCTAAGTAGAATGACAAGAAATTAGTCTATTGTCATTTTTGATAAACTTCTAGAATAATATTATTATTAAATTAATATATGAAGACATGTCGTTATTAATCTGAAAAGATTGTATATAATAACTATCAAAATGAATCATATAACAAAAATTCAATTATAAATTCTTTTGAGATTATTTAAATAAATGAATAAATAAAAGTCAAGATCAATTATTTTCTTTTTTTTTTTGGTTTTTGAAAACAAATAAAATTCTTTTCATATGTTTTAAATAATTTTTATAGATTTTTTTGTTTTAAATTAAAATTTGTTTAGATTTTAATGAATCTCATGATGCTTTTATCAAACATATTGAAAATGAATTATCAAAAACAAAAGGAAACCAACTTATATTAATTAGTCTTGTTGATGAATGGGGAAAAGAAAATATACTTAGTGATGCTTTTTATGAACATATTACAAAATATAATAGTCCACATTTATCATATATTACATTTGATTTTCATGAATATTGGTAATTTTATTCTTTATTTTATTTCTATCATTTTATTTTATATTTAGCAAAGGTCTTCAATTTGGAAATGTCTTAATACTTTTACAATTACTTGATGAAAAATATCTTTTACGAGAAATGCGTTTTTGTTGGTTAGTTTTATTTTATTTATTATTTTCTTATTTATTAAATAAATTCAATAGGATAAATACAGAAACAAATACGATGCTTAGTGAACAAACAAGTGTATTTCGTATTAATTGTGTTGATTGTCTTGATCGAACAAATGTTGTTCAAGCAGCTATTGCAAAGACTATTTTAGAAATAATGGTATGCTTCATAGTTTTCCTTTTTTCTTTCAAATTTCATTCAATTTTTTTTTTAGTTAAAAAAAGTTGGTTTATTAGATTTTGACGAAGGTGGTCTTAATGGTCATGCAAAAAGAATTTTTCAAACAATGTGGGCAGATAATGGTGATGCTATTAGTAGACAATATGCTGGAACTGATGCGATGAAGGTAAGACAATCGAATGAATAAAAATTAGATACTCGACTCTATCGTACATTATCATAACTCAACCTATCATTTTTATCGCTGTTTTTGCTTTTGTACTCAACAAAAAACGTCTCTATAGTTTGTCACTCATTAATTATATCAAAGCAAAAAAAACATGTTTTTTTATTGATAATAGTCTAGCTTTTAATTGAATGATGATAGAAGGCGCACATGAGTATTAGCTGCACAAAGATTTAAATGAAATTGCCATGGAAATGGACATCTGTTAATGTCAATCGACATTTGCATAACACAATTTGTTCGTTCATTTTTCAGCTCAATCGTTCGTTGATCACAATTAAGTAACAATATAATAGTATCGTTCTGACTAGCATCACTGCTTAGCTCACGGCGACACTGACCACCGGCATAGATTTGATTTCTAGTGGCCCAGCCATAGTTTGACGGCGAAGAATATGAAAATACCTTCATAGGTTCTGATTTGGAGATAATTCCAAAAAAGATCCAACCATTTGGAGGTAATTGTTCGATTCGAAAACAAAATTTATGCCTTCCAATATTATATTCATTTTTTCCACGTATTTCTGTGTGACCATCTGAATTATCGTTGACAATAAGACAACCATTCTCTTTTATTTGAGCATTACCACAAACACGTTCGAAGACATCAGGTGTATCTTGACAGTCGATACAAATCTTAGTAATTAGTGGTGTAGAATCTTCTTGAATAGCAACACTCGTTGGATTATGAAGTTCTTTTTTTAGTTCTTCTAATTTTTGTGTCCATTGTTGTAGATCAGTCTCAATAAAGTCATTATCTTCCTGACCCTGTCGTAATTCTTTAGATAAATTTTTCAGTTTTTGTTTAATATTGGTTGTATGTTCAGTTGTAGTTATGAGTAATTTATTTCTAGCCTCTTCTGCTGCTTGACGAATTTTGACGATAGATTCTTGTTCCCATTGATTAATTTTCTTTAATAGAGGATGTTGTTGAGGATCTTCAATTTGTTGAATAAGAGTTTGTTGTATAAGATCATGTGCTACAACAGTTTCTTCTAATTGTTTACTCAATTCATTTCGATGATCGTTCAAATCCTTTGGACAAAACATTTGTGAACATCCTTCACATCTGTAACTTCCTTTTCTCTTATTACATACAACACACAAAACTTTGGATGATGTTGTTGATGATGCCATGTGAAGTGTTATGACAATGACTGGTGAAATAAAAGCAGAAAAAGCAAACGATAAAATTTTCAACGTAAATCGTTCTTTCGTCAACAAACAAACCAATAATAAAGCATGTTGACGATGAAAAGTGTATGTTATTCTGAGTAAAGTAGTCAATGCAACTGATAATGAGGAAAAAAATATTTCTATGTGATTCATATTAGAATGAAAAAACTAAAGTTTCGTATGAAAATAAATATAAAACACAAGTATTATCGTCAAGAAAGTGTTTGTATTATTTTGAAATTGGAATTAAAATAAAAGTGATTAACATATCAGTTATAATAATACGATAAATGTCGACAGGGATTTTTCATTGCATATCAGAATAAAGAAACAAATAAATATGAACAAAATTCTTAGCTACTAAAACCAAGGTAGAATATGCGAGTTTTTTTTCAAATAAATTTGGAGTTATTCTACTTTCATTAGTCGCATTACCATCCTTCGTAGAACTAGATTAATTAATATCTAAAGAAAAAAAACCTCTTTGACATAAACAAACAGTAATTGAAATAGATTTTAATACCTACAATATCATTGATGAAATTATTTCAAGGTTTGCGTATAGAGAAAAACAAAGTTTTAACAAATAAAAAACGATATTTTAAAAACTAAAGATGCTTCCAGTAGTGGAAAATGTGTAGAACCATATTCATCTACCATCTATGGTTACGGTTGTTTTGTGAGATCCTTTATTCTTTTTCCATGGATCTCAGCATGTACGGATACATCAGCTCGAAATAAGAGTTACACAATAAATATAAGATAGAAAATGATAAACAGACAAGAACAAGACGTAGTGAGAATAGACGAAACAAAATTATAGATGAATATGACTAAAAGTATACAAGAAAAAAAGCTTTATATCGTATGGACTATCAATATGGAATATAGTAGAATGAAAGGAGAAAAATAAGAAGGGAAAAGACATGAATGAACAATCTGTTGTAATCAAAAGATCATTTGATTATTTGCATTTTATCTTGATAAAATGGCTTCTCTTCAGAGTACATTGCTTTTTTTTGTCTACCAGTGAAAAAATAAAGTTTTTTTGTTGAAGCCAATAGTGACACTTAAAAAAAAATTCCCTCTAGTCTTGTTTTTTTTATGGAGATGCAGTGTGAACATGCTTTTATGGTTGTGAAAAAGAGATCAGTCCGTTTGCTTGAGCCTAATCAAAGATATTCGATTGTTTCTCAGTACAGTGACTTTTGAATTACGTATTTTAACCTTTTGTCATTTAAAATAATTATTGTCTAACATAATTTTGTTAAAATAATTAGTTATAAATTAAAATAAGATGTAAAAACATGGTTTGGTACGCAAATTTCAGTTTAAAAGTTATTCGAATAATTAAATGGTTGAAAAGAAATAAAGCAAGATAAGTCTTTTAAGATGCATATCAAATGTAATATCTCTTTTTTTTTCATATGAGAATGACGAGATTATATATTAAATTATTATCTAACGATAAAAAATTTGTATTTGATTTCTTCTGTAAAATATTTATCGAATATTTATGGTGATAATTGTTGGATTGATAGGATCGTAATGGAAGACAATTATTCAAATATTTTATTTTATAAAAAAATGATCAAACTATATCAGTCTGAGTAAAAACAATCGATAAGTTGTTTTTATACTCAAAAAGATCAATCATCATTATGTCAATAGAAAAAAATTAGAAAACTTATAAACAATGAAAAGTGTTCGAGTTTCGATGAGAACAAGGATAATAGTTTATTTTCTTTAAAAATATTTTTTGTTGCATTTGTATGAAGACAAACGAAAGTTGAAAGTTCGCAAAAATTTTGAAGAAAATAGATCGAGTCTTAATTCGAAGAATTTAGAATTCGTACATGAGTATTAGGTGCATGAAGATTGAGATGTAGTTGCCATGGAAATGGACATTTTTTGATATCAACCAATAGCTCTCTTGTACGATTCAACCGATTATTTTGTAGTAGAATCTTTTTTTGATCACAATCAATCAATAGGATAATAGTATCATTTTCGAAAATTTCGGTATTTTCGTCGTATTCTTCATCATCACCACCGATATAGATTTGATTTTTGCTTGACCAGCCATAACTTGATGGCGAATAAAATGAATCATATTGCATAGGTTCTGATTTGGAGATAATTCCAAAAAAGATCCATCCACTTGAAGTTAATTGGTCGATTCGAAAATAAAATTTATGTTTTCCAATATTGTATTGATTTTTTCCACGTATTTCTGTGTGACCAGCTGAATCATCTTTGAGAATAAGACAACCATTTTCTTCAATTTGAGTATTACCACAAACACGTTCGAATACATCAGATATTGGCCTATTCAACTTAAAGAGCAGAAAAATTCTTGCACAAAAAACAATTGAACTTATTCATTCGGATCCCTTTTTTAGTCGTTTATAAATATCATTTGTTTTGAATAATAGCGAAATAAATCATAGTCGTCATTCAAAATCAAGTCTTTTTTTGTACAGGAAACAGACGAAATGGCCTTATTGTTTTTTTTTTCTCACATATTAGTGAGATAGGAACCTGTGGATCCACGTTTTCATGAACCCGAGGATCCAGTCGGATCCAAACTCGAGGTTTTTTTTATGAATACCTGGCACCCTTCGTGTACATGAACAAGTGAAGGATCAACGTTTCGGCTATTTATTCGCTACTCTCAGAAAAAGCTCAACGTACAGTTATATCTTGTTGCTGGATTTCTCATCTGGAGAGTAATGAGTCCGCAAAAAGATGTAACCGCACCCAACAAAAAATAAAACTTTGGACTGAGGAAAGTTCATCCGAGTTTGGAAGGATCCGCAGCTTCCTATAGTGAAGTCTGTTGTCTTAGCTACAAACACAAATGAAAATGAATGTAACACCAGAATTTTCTATTCTTGTAGAGTCATCACAATTTAACAAAATGAAATGAAAGTTTCTGCTAAATAGAAATTGCATCATATAGTTCTCTTGCAATATAAATTTCAGCTCTTTATCATATTAAGTTGCTAAGTTAAGACCATCTGAATGTCAAAAATGCGTAAGAGCGCGTTACCTGTGGATTCATTGATGTATCTTGATAGTCGATGCGAATCTTGGTAACAAGTGGTATAGAATCTTGTTGAATAGAAACATTGATTGGATTATGAAGTTCTATTTTTAGTTCTTCTAATTTTTGAGTCCATTGTTGTAACTCACTTTCACTAAAATCATTATTCTCTCGACCTTCCTTTATATCGTTAAATATCAATTGCAAATTTTTTTTCACTTGATTTGTGTGGTGAGCAGTATATTTGAGCAATTCATTTCTGGCTTCTTCAGCTGCTTGACGAATTTTAACAATAGATTCTTGTTCCCATTGATCAATTGTTTTTAGTAGAAGATGTTGCTTAGAGCCTTCTGTCTGTTGAATAAGTATTTGTTGAACAAGATCATGTGTTACTTCGATTTGTTCTAATTGTTTACCAAGTTCATTTCTATGATCAATTGAATGTTTCGGACAAAAAATTCTTGAACATCCTTCACATTTGAAAATTCCTTTGCTTTTATTACATATAATACATAAAACTTTATTTGATTCAATTGTTGATGCCATACGGAGTAGGACGATGATATCTAGTGAAATAAAATGAGAATGAAGTAAACAATAAAATTTTCAACATACACCTTTTTTATGTCAATAAACAATAAAATAGTAAACGAAGCTGATGATGAAACTTATGTGTTGTTCGAAGTAAAGTAACAAAAATCAATTTTATAGATTTCGCCATCTAACGAAAGAATCTTGGTAATACTACATTAGCTTGGAACACAATTAAATTGTGTATAAAAATATTATAAAAAACACGAATATTAATTTCAAGAAAGTGTTTATACTTATTCTGAAATTCGAATTAAAATAAAAGTGCATAGTGTATTGCTCATGATAATATGACTAATGTTGATGGAGCTTTTTCATTTTATAAAAAGAAGAAAGAAATGAATGAATGAATACAAACGTGAAATTAATAGAGAATTTGTATTTATTCTACCTTTATTAGTCTTCTTATATAATAGTTATATTTTTGTTCTTCTAGTCAACTGACGAAATCAATGAAATAGATAAGGATTTTTTTAGATATTACTAAAGTGCATATTTTACTTTTTATCTCTTTGTTGACCAAAAACATATATATACGTTTTGAATAGATTCTAAATTGTAGGATAATCTATTTTTACTAAATGATAATAGTATTCTCTTTTTCAATTATGTTATTAATACCACATAGTATCATCATACATGTACATCAAGAGGAAACAAGAGACTATTGGATCTGAGAGTACATGAAAATTTATGTAACTTTTTTACTCAGAGTCTTTTAGAACGACATGAAGCAAAAGCAGAATTTCGTAAAATGGGATAGAAGCCGAGAGTCATTGTTGTCAAAATTTTTGTATCTTATCAAAAGAAACTCCTTGTCCCCAAGAGTTAACGAATGCCGTTGGCAATTAAACCAAAGAATTCATTCAAACAAAACCTATTCTTACAATATAGATTCTGTATTCCAAGATGTTTGTTTATAATAGGAAAAGATAATTTATTCAAACTAAATTTACCTGAGTGAATAAATAAAGAATGGAAAATTATTATAAATGGTACTCAATAATTCATATTTCAAAGTGATACGAAATAAAATCTATTATTTTTCAACGAACTGTTCGATTTTGATATAAATTCGAAGTTGTTTAGTGGTATATTTGTTCTTTGTGAATACTATCCATTGTCTTTTATTTGTATATTATTACAAACTTATTGTAAGAGATCTATGTTGTGTTAATGTTGGATATGTATTCTAATGATGAATAGAAAAGAATTTTCTTGAATACAAATAATTTTTCTATTGATAAGTTTTTTTTTCTTCGTTCATCGAGTTTTAATGTCGATTGATCATTGAGTTGTTCGATTAAGATTTAAGTTTTAAACTTTTACTGATTGATTCTTATTCTCGTTGACTAATTTTATTAAATAATAAATTTTGTTTGATTGCTCTATGAATGTTTAATAAATAAAATCACACATTAGTTCAATATCTTGTTTTTCTTCATTAAATTCATATCGATATTTAATTGAATCTTTTTGAAGAATATATAAATAAAAATCTTTCACAGTGAAAAGTTTCTTTTTCTTTTTTCATTCATAGAACATAAGTTATTCGAATCGATGTTGCCGATGATGAAACTATTTGTAATTTTTTTCAATGATAATCAACTAAATAAATTCTTTCTATAGAATTAATTTTCGCACAAAGTTTTAACTGCGAAGAATATGAACATGTAGGTGATCATGCACATATTAATATCATAGAGAAAGATCACACTTATTCATTTTACTTTAATAAAACAAACGAAAAATCGATATGTTGATAGGCGATAGAAATTATCGTCAAAAGTAAAAAATAGAACAATATATTTAAGGTTTTTTGCCGCATAAAATAATTATTGTCTTGTTTTGTTTTTGTTTTTAGTAATTCATTGTGAATTAAAGTCACATATAAAAACACATCTCTTTATGCAAATTTTAATTTAATATTGATTTGAGTATGAATTTTTTTCTAAGATTGAAAATCAATCACAAAACGTGTTTTTTTTCAGGCATCGTAGCAGACCCTTAAAATATAGGACCGTATGTCTACGTAATATATGAACAAATTCCAAAATTTCGTGTATTTACATGGAGTTTTGAAATTTATTCATATATTACGTAGACATATAGTCCTATATTTTAAGGGTCTGCTACGATGCCTGGTTTTTTTTAAAGTTTGTATATTTTACGATCATCTTATTGAATTCATTATTTCGTTAAATGATTGAAAACAAATAAAATAAGATAAGGTTTTTTTAAAAAGTAAATTTCATTTGTTTTTTTGTTAAATTATTTATTTATTCATCGAGTATCTATTATGATAATCGTTGGATCGATAAGATCTTAATCGGAGATAATTATCCAAATATTATATTTTCAAAAAGAATTATCAAACTCTATCGGTCTGCAACGAAACAATCAAGAAGTTGTTCTTATATTAAAAGATATAAATCAAAGTTGATAGGTCTGATCATGTCAATAAAAAATATATAGACTATAATAACTCTTCAAGTTTCTATCAAAACGAGAATAGTAGTATAGATTTTTTGTTGCGCTTGAAGCCGTTTTTTTTTCATTTAAAAAATCGTTACTAAACTAAAATATAAAGATTATAGTTGACAACTGATTGAATCTTGAAAATTCATGTACGAAAGCAAACGAAACTTGTAGATTCAGAAAAAAGCAAAAATAAATCAAGTTTTAATTAGACGAATTTAGAATTCGCACATGAGTATTAGGTGCATGAAGATTAAGATGAAGTTGCCATGGATATGGACATTTGTTAATATCAATCAACAATTCTATAGTACGATTCAATCGATCATTTTGAAGCAAAATTTTTTTTTGGTCACAGTCAATCAACAGTATGATAGTATCGTTTTGAACGATTCCGATGGTTTCTGCGTGGTTAACCTGACCAGTAACGCCGATATAGATTTCACCTTGATTTGACCAGCCATAACTCGATCCTGAACTAAATGAATATGCCCGCATAGGTTCTGATTTTGAGATGATTCCAAAAAAGATCCATTCATTTGAAGTTAATTGTTCGATTTGAAAAGAAAATTTATGTCTTCCAATATTATATTCATTTTTTCCGCGTATTTCTGCCTGATCAGTTGAACCATCTTTGACAATAAGACAGCCATTCTCTTTTATTTGAGCATTACCACAAACACGTTCGAACACATCATATGTATCGTGATAGGCAATAAGAATCTTGGTAATAAGTGGTGTAGAATCTTCTAGAATAGCAACAGTTGTTGGATTATGAAGTTCTTTTTCTAGTTCTTCTAATTTTTGTGTCCATTGTTGTAGATCAGTTTCAATAAAGTCATTATCTTCTTGACCTTGTCGTAATTCATTAGATAAATTTTTTAGTTTTTGTTTAATATTGGTTGTATGTTCAGTTGTAGTTATGAGTAATTTATTTCTAGCCTCTTCTGCTGCTTTTCGAATTTTGGTGATTGCTTTTCTTTCCCATTGATTAATCTTTTTTAACAATGGATGTTGTTGAGGATCTTCGATTTGTTGAATAAGAGTTTGTTGCATAAGATCATGTGTTATAACAATTTCTTCTAATTGTTTACTCAATTCATTTCGATGATCATTTGAATGTTTTGGACAAAACATTTGTGAACATCCTTCACATTTAAAACTTCCTTTCCCCTTATTACATATAACACATAAGAGTTTGGATGATATTGTTGATGATGCCATATAGAGTTTTATTACAACGATCAGTGTAATAAAACTAGAAAAAAGAATTTGATAAAATTTTCAACATACACCATTCTTTTGTCAACAAACAACACAATAATAAAGCACGTTGACGATGAAAAATGTGTGTTGATCTGAGCAAAGTAGTCGACATAAGTGGTAGAGTAAAGACAAACATCTTTTATGAATTTCACTATATAACGAAAACATTTGAGTTACTTTTGATATAATTAAATTTTTGTATAAAAATAAGTATAAAACACAAATACTATCGTCAAGAAAGTGTTTATATGTTGAAATTTGAATTGAAATAAAAATGTTTAGCATATATTCAAGATAATACCGAGAAAAATTTTTCATTTCATAAAAGAATAAAGAAACGAATAAATACAAACATAAAATCAACGCTGAATTTGAATTTGTTCTACCTTGATTAGTCTCATTATTGTCCTTCGTAAGATGAGACTAGTTAACATCAAGGGAGAAAAAGCGAGACTTTCGGAGCACGGAAGCCTCACTTTTTCCATCTTAGTTAATATCCATTTCAAGAAAGAAAAGTCATGAGCGTTTTTTGAATAACTTTTAAGATAAATACGATAGAGATCTGCGATTTTCATGGTTCGATGCATCTTTATCTCTTATTTTCAACAGTGAAAATCGCAAGTCTCTATTTTGTTTCTATCAAAAGTTATTCGAAAAAACACTCACGACTTTTTTTTTTAAATAGATATTAGTATGTAGAAAAAAACTCTGGTGTATTAATATAGAAATTGGAAGATTTTTTTTTTCTTTGATTTTTCAAACGACACGATCAAATTCAAAAGAAAACATATTCTATTGTAATCTTGATCAACAGATTGAAGAAGAAACATTTTTATATTTTCGAACATATATCAACAAAATTAATATTTCACTTTTGTCGAATAGAACTAAGAGCGTTTCTTACTTGTAGAATCATAATATAACTTATCGAAGAAGAATATGAACATGTGTACGTGGTGATAGATATATCAATATAATGCAGAAAGAGCAGATTTGCTCAATCTACTTGAATAAAACAAAGAGAAAATCGATAAGTTGATGAACGAGAGCAATTATCGTTTGAAGTTTTCATCATTTAAAATAATTATCATCTAGCTTCATTTTCTTATAGTAATTCGTCCTGAAATGAAATAACACGTAAAGATAGGTCTCTTTTGAAATCATGCAAATTTTTATTTAATATTTATTCGAATAAAAGTTTTTTTTTTAAGATTAACAACTCACCGCAAAATATTATTACTTTTGAGCTCGCATAGTTTAATACATTAAATTTTGATTATTTTGTTAAATTTATTATTTTATTTAATAATTGAAAACAAATAGAATAAAAGAAGTTTTTTGGGTTAAATGTCAAATGTAAGATCTTTTTGTTTTTTCATCTAAGAATAACAAGATTCTGTATTAAATGATGATCTAACGATGAAAAAAATCTGAATTTCATTTCTTTTCTAAAATATTTATTTATCGAAAATCTCTAATGACAATTGTTCGTTTGATAAGATCTTTATGGAAGATAATCATTTGAATATTATATTTTCAAAAAAATTATCAAACAATATCGATCTAGAAAAAAAAACAATCGATATGTTGTTCTTATATTCAAAGACATAAATGCAAGTTGATAGTTTTGATCATCTTATCAGAAAAAATTAACAAACCTACAAACCATGAAACATCTTTAACTTTCTATGAGAATAAGGATCAGAGTTTATTTTCTTTAATAACATTTTTTGTTGCTCTTTATTACAATCTTTTTCATTAAAAACTTGGTTACAAAAGTGAAATATTGAGATTATAATTGAGAACTTATTTCGTCTTGAAACTCATGTATCAAGGCAAACCAAAGTCGGAAATTTGGAAAAATTTCAGAGGAAAGAGAAAAAATTGAGTTTTAATTAGACGAATTTAGGATTCACACATGAGTATTAGCTTCATAAAGATTGAGATGAAATTGCCATGGAAATGAACATTTGTTGATATCAATCAATAACTCTATAGTACGATTCAATCGATCATTTCGAAGTACTATTTTTTTTTGGTCACAGTCAATCAACAGTATGATAGTATCATTTTGAATGATTTTTATGGTTTCTCCGTGCTCTTCCTGATTAGCGACACCAACATAGATTTGATTTCTGCTTGACCAGCCATAACTCGACTGTAAATAAAAGGAATTGCATTGCATAGGTTCTGATTTTGAGATGATTCCAAAAAAAGATCCATTCATTTGAAGTTATTTGTTCGATTCAAAAAGAAAATTTGTGTATTCCAGTGTTATATTCATTCTTTCCACGTATTTCTGTGTGACCACCTGAATTATCTTTTACAACAAGAAACCCATTCTCTCTTATTTGAGCATTACCATAAACACGTTCGAACACATCATATGTATCGTGATAGGTAATAAGAATTTTGGTAATAACTGGTGTAGAATTTTCGTGTTGTGTAAATTATGCTCACGAATGTAAATGCGTGTGATTAGGATGAACTTGTACTAATTACCGAAGAATAGTAAAACAAAAGGAGAGTATCTCTTTGAAGAATTTTCATAAGTATATATTAGTCAGTGTTAATGTATTGTTAAAGTATATATTCGAAGTCAAGCACGGGGATGTAGCTCATATGGTAGAGCGCTCGCTTAGCATGCGAGAGGTATTGGGATCGATGCCCAACTTCTCCACTTTTTCTTATTTTAATTCAATTTTTATCATTTCTATATTAAGTTGAAGACAATATCATATTCAATTATATTGCTATAGAAAATATGTTTTATCTTTTTGTCTTTCCTTTTATTTAACATTTTTTGCAAACATTGCTTAAATCGCTTTTTTAAAAGAGAATGAATTTTCGAAAAAAGACTTTTTTTAATTTTTTCTCACGTAACGATTAAATTTAAACGTTCAAGAAAAAGAATATTTTCTGTAACAATCCAGTTGAATATGATATTGTTTTCAACTTAGTATAGAAATGATAAAAATTGAATTAAAATAAGAAAAAGTGGAGAAGTTGGGCATCGATCCCAATACCTCTCGCATGCTAAGCGAGCGCTCTACCATATGAGCTACATCCCCGTGCTTGACTTCGAATATATACTTTAACTATACATTAACATTGGCTGAAATAAGTTAACGTACAAGGTTATTTTGTTTTATTATTCTTTGTTAATTTTTAATATTAACGTGACTCATAATTTGTATATTTATATGAAACAAATTCTAGGTGGATAGATTATAAATATTATTCCATGAAATTAAGTTGATTCTCTTTTATCAAACTGGTTGCATCCACTATTAGATGGATGAAGAAGATTCTTTAGTATTTTTTTAATATTGTCAATTATTTTCTGTTAAATTTTATAAGAGAAAAAAAATCTAAGAAAGATTCTTTTTTTATTTACTACTGAGATTCGATTAAATTTATAAAATTAATTTGAATAGAAATCTTCTCTTTTGTCCGTTTGTTATTCTTCATAATAATAATAGAATTTGTTTCCAGAAACAAAAAAATTCTTCATTGTAGAAGTTAACTATATCTTTTTTCTTTTATACTTATATGAAACATTCGCTTTGGAAAAAAAATCTGTTAATAGAATATTTGATTGATTCAAATCTGAGCTTCATTCTTATATCTGAACAGGCCCACATAATAAAATAAATTGAATAATCTATCTTAAAAATTTGACATGTACTTTTTTTGTTAGGGTGATTTTACACGTACAGGTCGTCGTGATATAAAAGGTGTTTTAGCTGATGGAAAAATCTCAGCAAATCGTTATTATCGTCGTTTTAAAAAGGATACTTTGCGACAACAATGTTATGATGCAATGCAAAAACAAAAATCATCAACTATGGAAACAAATAAAGATGTCATAACAAGAGTTAATTCTGATTTTGTTGACATTCCAATGGAAGTAGTAAGATTTTCTATTTGAATTTTCGTATATGAATATCAAAGAAATTTTATTTTTTTAGGTAACAAATCGTGAAGATATTTTAAGACAAATGATACTTGATTGTCGAAAAATGTTTGTTTGTGAAGAAACTGAAGATTGTTTTGGTACTTGGCCTCTTATTAATGATAGTGAATTAAATGAGTAAACATTTTAGTTTTTATTTTACTTCAAAAATACTGATGCAAAAAAAAAACAACCAGTCGAAAAGTCAGATTAAGGTCATCCTCTCAAAAAAAGTCGCTTTTCGTCAGAATAATGAAAATTAAGATAGATGCAGGAAAAGATAGCTCGTGATCTGATCTCTCATAATTCGAAAAATAAGCTGTTTTTGAAAAAGAAACCAAAAATCTTTTTCGTTTTTTTCTCGTTTTATAGGTTTTCGATCGTATCTTCAAGAATTCTCGAAAGAACTTTATTGTAGCCAATGACTTTCTTTTTTGTTTGAAAACTCGTTTTTAGGATTAGCCACTCTCGTGATCCTTTTTTTATTATCATATAAGAAAAACCTTTATAGAAGCAGTGCCATTTTTTAGGGATTTTTTTACATCATTGAAGTTGTAATCCCTTCTTGCTGCTTAAAAAGAAAACAAAAGGAATCTGTAATGCCATCACTTAGTTCACTTTGTTTGTTTAAAAATTACTTCTCGGACAATAAAAAGTATCTTCGTACTGTTATTTTGTTGATGAAAAGTCATTAGTCATTCTATTTATTGTTTTCTTCTAAAAGTAAATCTTATTCATCATTTTCCTTATATTGTTCTTTCAATATCGGTGCTCGGGACATGGGGATATTGAACGATTGGTTGACATGAAATTGAGAGCATTTGAGCTATTTGTTTCTATAGAATAGACGCTTTTTTCGAGCTGCGAGTAGAGTCCATCGGGCCCAAGAATTTTTGGACCCGGATCCGACTCGGACCCGAACTTTAGCAGTAAAAGTTTAAAAATCTGGGCCCGAACCCGACGGACTCTAACTGCAGGACATGGAGATATTGAATCATTGATTGAAACGAAATCGAGATTATTTGAGCTATTTGTTTTTATAAAATAGGCGTTTTTTTTCGATGCTTGTGATATAGGAGGATTGAATAATTGGTTAAATGTTTAGTGTTAGCAAATTCGTTGTTAAAAAATTGAAATTGAATGATTGATGCTATTTAGAATAGCAGCCGATCTGATGTTGGATTGATTGAGTAATAATTTGACTATAAAAGAATTGTTGATTATCTATTTGATAGACTTATTGTGAGAAAGTTTATCAATGTAAGATTGTAGTTTAGAATTAAGAATGCTTTTTTTTTTGTAAGAGATTCACATGAAGAAAAAATTTATGTAATTAAAAATAAACAGACATAGAATGTCTTTCTTGATTAAATGTTCCATAACAACGAACATCAATCGATTAATTATAAAGAGATGAATAAAATTCATAAAATTCTAATATTCACTAAATAAGAATGGTTAAAAATAGAAATTTTCTATATGTAAATATTTTAAAATAATTTCAAATAAATCATAGAAGTTCAACGAATCATTTAGAATCGCTAAAATTACAAAAGTTGAATACAATAATAAATAAACATGAATTATCGTGTGACTCATACTATTAACATGTATTCCAAATTCAGCTGAATTCCCATGTCAACTGTGACACCCTACATCCTGACATGCTCTTTCAAATAAAAATTAAATTAAATATATAGAATGAATCTGAGCAGAGAAATTTGGTTTGTCAAATATACTATTTTTGATCCTTGTTTGGTGAATATCTCTGTCAAACGTCATGATATAGGGATAGAAATTTTTTTATATGTGTAAACTATTCATCCCCAATATATGTACAAAGTTTCAGCTTAATAGCGCGTTCTGGTTTGGAGATCCTATGCTGAGGGAAGGTCTTAAGTGTTAGTGATGTAATAGTGCCATCTCACTTTGAAACAAATTATACATGAATTTCAATTTTACTATATTTAGATGACTTTGATTCAGTAAGAATTTTATAGTTTATGTTCGCATTTTGAGAAAACCATTTATCAGCGATATTTATGATTAAAATTGATTAAAAGTTAATCTTTTACCCTCATGATGGGTCATTTTTGACCCATTCACAGAAACTATATATTTGAAGTACGTCTTTTTATAATCTCTTGACTAGGATATTTCAATTAGAAAATGATGATTTTTCAAAAAAATGAAAAAAAAATCTGTTTTCCTTTTGGTTGTTTTTATTTGCACAGATTGATCATTCTTGTGTTTGAGCAATTGATATATATTATTAAGGACATCATCTATTTACACAGAAGTTTTTTTTCGGACAACTTAGATCGAAAATGACCCATTCGTCGTGAATGACATAAAAAATATCTTTTTTTTTAAAGTTGTTTTATTTTCGATATAAATTCATAGTTGACAATATTTTCATGGTAAAACCATTAATGAAAACTAATAGTAATTTAAAAAAACAATCCACGGTCATTTTTGAACAACTTTCTATTGGTAAAAGACCGAGACCTGCAGGTTTTGTTATGATTTTCCTTTTGAGCAAGATTCTAACAATAGAAATAGGTGATTTCGAATCGGAATCAGAACCACCAATGCTATATTATACAGAAAGAAAATGAAAGAGTTGATTTCAATCCAAAAAACAGCTACCTTTGCCAATGTCTAACCATATGTTGTTCTCAAAATGACTCATTTTTGCAAAAAATAGTCGATAATAGACAAGTTTCCAACTTTATGCAGATAAGTAAACACACAATAATGACAATTCAATTTTTATGCTGTTCACGACGAGTGGCTCATTTTTGACCCATTCTGCATCTCTACAGTGCAATGACACCGTTCAAATTTAACTATACCAGTGTCATATTGAGCATCTACATAAGCTATTCTCGTAGTTGATTCAACACCAATTCTACTGGATTAATGTCAGGGAGTAAAGGGTTAATAATAGATTGACAGGTAATAATAGGTTAAAATTAGTGAACAGATAATATATATATATATATATATCAAGTTGAAACAGTTCACTTAGGAATATCCAGTCAAATAAAATCTGATTATGATCGGTTTTTTCTGATGATTAAAAAACAAGTAAAACAGCACTATTTTCATCAGATTTAAAATTGAAAACAATCAATTTTTATCGTTTTTTTTTATCTGGGTAAATAAGAACTTCTTTTTTTTTCAGAGTGTTAATTGAACAAACAGAACCTGATTGTGTTCTTGTTCTAACATCAACTCGATATTTTATTGTTTGGTAAAGTTTGATTTTATTTATTATTTAAAATAAAATTTTTTGTTTGTTTAGTTATGATGAAACATTTCAAAAAGTTGTTTCATTTAAAGAAACTCCATTAACATCCATAAATAATATTGAAGTTGGTTCGTTGAATTTTATTTTATTTTTTTGACGAAAAAACAAAACACAAATTTATTTTATAAAAAAATAATTTTTAGGTGAAAATCCTTTATCACCAGCAGGTAGTTCATTGACACTTCGTATTCATTTTACAAAAGAAGAACAAACAAGTGGTTATTATCATCAATTTCGTGGTACAAATGTTCAAATTTTTAATACAACAGTTATATTTCTTAAAGATATTGATCAAATAAATGGTAATTAATAATCAAATTTTTTCTCTTATCAATTTTACAAAAAAATCATTTAGATTATATGAAAACAATCGGTCACATGATTGTATCAATTGTTAATTCTTTTGTACAAAAATCACTTGAACTTAAGGAAAAAAAATTAAATAGGTAAAGTCTTCGTTTTTTTTTTCTAATCAAATTGAAAATTAAAACTATTATAGTAATCATTTAATTTTGTAAGTAAGAATTAATTCTATTACTCAATGATTGATCTTTAATTCTTTTTTTCTATTAAATAAATAAATATATTTATATAATAAATGTTGTTTTTTTTTTTGTTTTAATTCTATACAGAATGAACAGTTTACCAGATGATGTCGAACCATTTCAAAAACGAATGAGTTTTTCTGCAACAGATATGCCACCTCTTGCTACAATAAGTGATGCTGCAACTTCAAATAATAAAGCAACAATAAATAAAATAAAAGATTTCGGTTCACGATTTTCATCGATGGTTACTCGACAAGCAGCACCTACAATTAATAAATTAACGACGCAAGGTTTTTTTTATCCTTTTTGTTTTTTCTATTTTTAAAAGAAAATCCTTTGTTTTTTTTTTGTTCTTAGCAAAACAATTACCAATAAATGAAAAAGTAACATCATTATTGAAAGTTATTGGTGATAGTCCATCATTAATTCGAGCTGGTACAACAAAATTTGTAGCAGAAGAGGGTCGTGCATCACCAACGCCTGACAATCGAAAAAAAATGCTACAAGAAAAATTTGATGAAAGAAAAAAAGAATTAACTTCTATACAATGTCAAACGAAATGTTTTCTTTTGCCTTCTCCTGATCTCACCATCATTTACATTCCAAATAATGAACAAAAATAATTATCAATTCTTGTTTGTTTTCTTTTTTTTTGTTAAAATAAAATCAATTATTCAGACATAAACCTTGATGATTATGCTAAAATGCAAAAGAAAGTTTATGCACTTGTACCGTTATCAATAATTAAAAATCGGAATAAATCAGAAAAATTCAATACATTTCTCTAGATGCTTTTCTAATAAAAGAATAAAATTTCTTTATAAAAAGAAAACCAGTAAAATTACTGTTGTATATGATCTTCATTTGATAAAATTAAAAAACCTCTTTAGAAAATTATACGAGGATTATTCTTGAACATGAATGCACAGTATGTCAAAGAAAATCTAATTTCATAATAACTGTTAACAACTAACTGACATTTTCAAGATATACTATGATAATTGTTGTCAAATACATAATAAAAACTTTCTACGCAAAAAAATCAAAATTATCATAGATGAATATGTTTTCATGGGTCATAAAGTCTAACAAAATAAATTATACTCAAGGGATAATCAAATGGCAAAACATAAATTTTATTTTTAAAATTTTGCATACTCATAGATATAATGTCAATTTTGGTTTTTTTTTTGTATCATATCATTAAACATAACGTCAGGCCATTCCGTAAATGTTTAACTGATCTACTATTACATAACTACATTATAAAAAAAATCGTTTTTTTGGAAGAGAACTTCGGTCATAACAGGATGGAATATCTTATCAATCTATAAATAATGTCAGACAAAAATTATAAATAATGGAATGGAAAGTGCCTAAGTGTTAAAAAAAAAAACTAAAAATTATTTGCTTTCATTGAAATTTTCTGTAATAAGATAAGAATAAGTAAAGTTGTTCGTTTAAAAAAGTTTTTCTTACATCAATTAAGAAAAGTAGTAAATTCTTCTCATTAAGATTGAACGTCACCATGCCAAACAACATTCTGTATTTCTATAAGAAAGAAAGAAAGAAAGTTATTTTTCTAATAAAGTACTTATTACTATCAAAAAACAAAAACCAAGTAAAATTGTCGACTTTCAATGATTACTATTTAATAATGAATGTTCTCATTTGTACTCAGTAGTTATTACATAAACAAAAGACAGATTTAAAATAAAAGTTGACTAAAACAACAAATTTTCTCACACATTTGAATCATGATATTCAGAACGCGCGCATTTCTAGAAAAACTGTCTACATTCTTACGGTAATTATAAAGGAGTTAATTATTAAAAGAAACATAACATATCACGCGAACAAATTTATTTTATATTTTTCGTACTTAAGAATAATTCAATAATCTTTAGAGTGTGTATTAAACAAATATTGTATTGATCTATTCATTCCATTATTAGTTTGTCATTTAAAAAAAAAGATCTGATTTTATTCATTGCTAAGAGACTGACAATAAAATCTCGCGAGATTTTTTTTTCTGGCAAAAAGAAAATGTGCTAAAAATAGTACTATTGTTCGTAAATAACTCTATCATTAAACAAGATTTTTATACGTGAAAATTATTTTATTTAATGAAGCAGAATATTTGACTTTATTATTAGTATTTAGTACTATATGAAAGTAAGATGCTTGAAGCTATATTAATCAATGAATTATTATTGATTTTTTCCTTACTTAACAGAATTAAATATTTCTTGTTTATGGATAATCTTCTACTAAATCATTTGAAAAAAAAAAATCTTATGAACTACTTGTTCATTATTATAGAATAGTAAATAATATTGTAGTTTGTTATTTAATAATAAAATATAATTGAATACAATCAGAGAATTGTACTTTAATAATCTAAACAGAGACAGATGTATTATAATCATTATCTCTAAAGTCATTTTGTCTCCAAGCAATATAGTATGTTTATTTTTGTTAATAATAATTAACCTATTATTTTTACTTGCCTATAGTTGCTTTATTAGTAAATACATATATCTATAGAATTCTTTACCTTGGTTTTAAAAACTTTAAATTTGATAAATCTCTATTTGAATATGTTGTTAATTTAATTCAAAGAACACAATAATTCGTTATAGTAGTATAAAAATAAAAACAAGTAAATAAATACATTGATGTTTAGGATATCCGGATTTCTTTTTTAATGTCTTTTGATTTCGTGTGAAGTGAATTGAAAGTGATAGTTAACCCTGTGTGTGTTATTTAAATAATAAATTCTATTTGATCATTAAGCACTACTTGTATATGACGAATAATATTCTGATAATTACGAATAGAAACGGAAGGAACTATTTGTTGTGCTTATTTCTCCAACAGAAAAAGAAAGGAAAATCCACATAGAAATAGAAAAAAAGCATGTTCATTACACATGCATTTCATAGATAGATGATGATAAGTGGTTACCTCATTTTTTTTTTCTTGTGTCATTTACTTGATAAACAATTATTTCTTTTTAACTGTTGGCAGAAGACATGTTCATCAAGGATTTTACATATTTTCAGAAGAAAAAAAAAATCTTAAGTAAGTAAAAAATTGTTTCTTATTTAAACAAGACGAAAAAAAAAACTAGAAATTCCTTCTAACAATGAGAATAGATCTCGATTACACAAATAAATATTGAAGAGGTACTACAACATTCTTAAAGTATAATCAATTTATCATAATTGATTTATTCAACAAAAAGAAAAACTAACAATCGATTTTTGATCGAATATTGTATAGAATAATTTCGATAACTTTTTAAAGTTAATTTCATTGATAATAAAAATTCGATACATGATCAAAACAAGATGCATATATAGAAAAAGAAAATTTTTCATAATAGAATAAACAGAATTCTTTTGTTCGAAAAACAAAAATGATCACGACATAGAATATGAAGCAAACGAAATCATCGTTTCTAAAAATATTATTATTCTTTTATTTATGTATGCATTGAATGAATAATATTCAATCGAATTATTGATTTATAAAAAAGTTTCCTTTTTTTTTCTTTTTGACTTTCTCCAATAAAGATTAGGATAAATAGATAGTCATTTTGGTCAATTTTCATCATTTGAAGATACACTCTAAACTTGATATGATTCTAATCAGAGTATTGATTTTACGATTAATTAAATATTTTATATGAAAGCTTTTTTATTTTTTTCAAACAATAAATTATTGAACGTAAAGGTCTTCGGTGAAGTTTCTTTCAAAAAAACAATGTGTAAGTAAATATGATAATTTTTTTATATTGTTTAAAAGAAAGAACTATTTGACGTCAATATAAATTATTTTTTTTTAACGATCGGAAAATGTTTTTACTATATGGTCTTGAGGATGTGACGGCTGTATTTTGCCTTGAAGGCATTTTTCTAGTTAGCTATTTACATTAAATTATATAAACGAAAGGAGTTTTCTTGTTTTCCATCATTGAAAAAGTGGATCATATCTACATTTATTTTATCTTTGACCAATTGCAACTTCTACAGCACAATATTACATAGCTTATTTATCGTAAAAAAAACAAAAAAATAAAACGATGCATTTGTATCATTCTATGTGCATGTTACTTTCAATTAGAGATTTATTTCACACAATCTAACTTAGAAAAGAATTTGTCGCTTTTTATATATAGAAAGCTCAAATGCAAATAATCATTTCCATATATATGATATGTATCTGTTGTTAGAGAAAGAAAATTTTTTGATTATGAATACTAATTATTAGTCTGTTTCTCCTATATCAATAGCATGAATGAATAACGAATGAAATACTTAGCACAAATTCTATTGGGAATATGTCTCTTCTTGTTCACTATGCTTTGTAAATGGGTGGGCGAAGTTTACTAATGTCTATCTTAGTTTTGTAAAAAAAAAAACAAAAACAAAAAGATAGACACAAGATCTAGCGTATAATCAATAATAAAATTGTTTTGCATTCCAAATAATGAAGACTATATGATAAATTGAATTAAAATTATGTTTTTTTATAGTAAGTATTTTTTATTAAATGAAAACAATTTTTCTTATTCAAAATATTGAAATGATTATCTTTTGTTAGTTAGATTTAGAGTTTATCGAGAATTTTTCTTTTTCTTTTCCTATGAATAATGAACAGTCAATGAAATATAGATTTATTTTTATAAACAACGACAGGAAATCTAATTCGGAATGACAAGAACAAATATATACAAATATTTTATGCATCAATTAGTCAAATTTCTTAGAGTTTTTTTTTTTCTTTCTAGATGAAATATACATTTAATAGAATCTAAAATGGTAACAAAATTCTGTGGAACATTCATATATCGAAATTCTTCAATATTATTTTCACATTCAAATCATTCACATATAAGTGATGCTGAATGGATAACAAATGGTATATCATTAATTATATTTGTTCTTGCATTTATTGGAAACACAGCTGCACTTATTGTTATGTTTGGTTCGAAAGGTCCAATACGAATAACGAATAATAAATATTTAGCTAATTTAGCATGTGCAGATTTACTACGTGCATGTTTTATGCCTTTTACAATTATAGCAAGAATGAAAAAAACCTTTATGTTTGGAAAGATGCTTTGTAAAATTTTACCAATTGTTCAAGGTAAAATTTTATTTATTTTATATCATTAAGGATGAGTTATGAATAACGGTTTTTTTTTTCTAAATTTAAGAAAGAATAAAAAAAAAAAAAACTTGTATTATGTCATAGAGTGTAAATGATAAGAAAAAGATAGAATTATTTTTTTTTCATTATCAACATATCTATGAACCGTAACAAAAAAGATTATTCTCTATTTTCATTTGAGAATTGACAAAGCGGAAATTATTTGAGAGAATTTATAATTGCAAATCAAAGCTTTCATTGAAAATTGATTATCATACTTATTTTATCTACAGTTCATTGAATATGATTGAATTTTCTATATTTATAAGTTAAGAAGTTCATATCTATATAAAATGTCGAGTATGTGATTGTCAAATTCGGAATGGAAGGTCATAGGGCAACATTAGATTTTAAAATAATATAGATATTTCATAATACATAAGATTTTTCATTAGGTAGAAAATAATGCAATAGTAAAAATATTGTTAACATTAATAAGAACTAATATTGTATGTTTCTAGTTAAAGGCAATCTTATGGAAAACATCTGCTTAATTATAATTTAATCTGCATACTATTTGACAAAAAATAGTATTTATTTTTACAACCGACATGAAGATAATTTTTTTTGTCATTAATCACGCACCAGGAATACGTTTTCTCTTTCAAACATCAAAGAAAATAATTGATTCAGAAGAAAATTTCTTTATTTATTTAGTCTATAGCATATTAGACAACATGCAAAACTTCATTGTCTCGTTTGTGTTTATTTTGATCATGAAATAATCTTAGAAAAGAAAATCCTTTAAAATAATGTTCATAAATAGACTACCAATTGACATTATAATTAGATAGTTATTTATTTAGATATTATTCTTTGTAATCTATTATTGATATAATATACAAAAAAGAATACTATAAATCTTGAAAAAGTCATACAATATTTTAAAGGAGAAACTTTAATATGATGTCCTTGAGAGTACAATATAAATGATTTGTACGATTGAAAATAGAAAAAAAAAAATCAATAAATGAATCTATGGGAAAAAAGAGAAATCTGAAAAAGATATTTTCATTGTTGTTTGTTTTTCTTCTAGGTTTAAGTGTAGCTGTAGATGTATTTACACTTGTTTGTATAAGTATTGAACGTTATTTAGCTATATGTCGTCCATTACTTATATTAAAACTTCAATCTGTTCGATTTTCTAATCTTGTCAATGCTATTATCTTATTTTCAACATGGTCATTAGGTCTGTTGACAGCTTTACCAAATTTATATATGTATAATTTATGTTCATTACCTACACCTGGTCGTTATAAATGTGAAAAAACATCACCACAAGAATTTGATGAAAAATATTATATGATCACTTTAGATGGTAAGAAAAACAATTTAAATTTAAAAGAAAAAAAAAACATCAAGAGTTTTATTTAGCTTTTTATTTTGTGATACCAATGGTTGTCATGATTGTTCTTTATACATTAATTATTCGAAAAATGTATAGAAATAATATAGCATTACAAATGAGATCATTGAAAAGTAAATCTTGTTTTTGTTGTTAAATTTATTAAAATAAAAAATAAATCTTAATTTATTTAAGATAGTAATTCAACTAAAAGTCGTTCAAATCCTCCATCTCCTCAATTACTTTCATATAAAAAATGTTCAAAATTTCGATTAGTAAATTCTGATTTAATTAAAGATAAAAGAAAAAAATCAACAATTTTTGAAAAATTTAGTCAACGTTTATCATTTGGTAGTAGTATTAAATCAAGATCAGGTTTAAGTATTGATGATGATAATAATCAAAAAGAACATCAATCGAATAATTCTATAACAAAACAACAACTTAATCAAACATATACTATATCTCATCCAATAAATCAAGTTTTATCACAAAATAATAATGATAATAAAATAAAAAAATATTTTTATCATTTAAATTCTCGAAAAACTAGTATTACATATAGTTGTGCATCATCACAAGGTTTATGTCGTACAGATCGTAATCGACGTAAAGCACTTAAACTTTTAATAACATTAATTATGGAATTTTTTATTTGTTGGACACCATTATTTATTTATCATACAATTGGAACATTTAATAAAAATTTTTATCGTACAACACCAAATATTTATGTTGATTTAATACTTCTTTTTTCATTTGCATCAGCATCATGTAATCCATTAACATATTATTTTATGTCGAAACGTTATCGATCAGCTTTATATGCTTATTTACGATGTTGTTGTTCTTTTAATAAACATCAACAAATATTTATTAATCAAAATAATAAACAACCACATTATACAAGTAAACATTTACTTTCCAATCCGAAAGGAAATTCTCCGAAATTAAAAAATAATGTACAACTAGAAATTGATGCAGATGATCATTGTCGATTAAGATCTAAAACATGTTAAATGGTATCATTTTTGTTTTCTTTATATTATTATTGTAACATTATTGTTTACGTGTATTTCATCGAGGTTTTCCTTTAATTCTGCTTCCATGCATGGATATTTTATGCCAGCTTTTTTTTTTGTTTGTTTTGATATGTTCAGTTCTATTCGTTCTTGATGTTTTTTCTCTGTATGAATCAATATATGTTCTTTATTGTATTTTCTAGTGAGTTCTTTATCTTTTCATGCTCTTGTATAGAAATATTTTCATTCAGACATGTGACAAAGAAGAACAAACATATGAACTGATCTGAATGCAAAATTGAAACAAAACAAATTTTCAAATTGAATCTGCTGGCAAGAACATTTTGTTGAACGTGAATGAATGCTCATCCTTTCTCTCACATCGGTACACTCCGATATCTATTTATTTTAAATAATAAATCAATGTGTGTGTATATACATGTAATAAAATAACGTTTCATTCAAACTTAACGATAACATTACATTCAACATTTGATTATTGTTGCAATCTTTTATTTTTCTTTTAAACTATTCTTGTCATATTATTAAACAAAGCGAATAAAGAAGGAGGATGTAGAAAACTATAGAATAGGTTACCGATGTTTTAGTGTTTAGATTTCAAATTTCATATATAACCTGACTGAACTTCTCGAGCTGAGTTTTTGTGAAACACGATCTAAAAGGTGTGTTGAAGTATATAGGATAGAAATTTGGACGCATTCGTTCCACTCCTTCTCTCACAGGCCGTGATAGCCGGCCTATATGGATCATCACAGATAGTGGCAGACGGCTTCTACAGAGTATCATAGAGCCTAGATTGCTAATGTCTCGTTAGAATCTACCAACTAATG